GGTAAAGATTCAGACAGACTACTGACAGAAGTTGCTGTAACAGTACCACATTTCATATTAGTGATTCTATACCCAGGGCAGTCTAAGACCTTATCTAAAAAAAAAAATCAAGATCAATTTTCCATAAAATACAGCATATGGATTTCTTTTACTATGAAATATTTTGATTATTTTTAGTTATAAAATGTTTCAATACATTGCAAATGAAAAACATCAATTTTAACCAAAAAGGAAACCATATACAAATTGTTTATATTAATAAACTAAATTCTTATTTCTCAGGACAGAGTATCATCCAAACACAAATCCTTTAATTCGAAAACATCTTCCAAGTACTTGTATACAAATGAGATACTTAAAATAAAAGGTAATTTAGCAGTAAGGTAGACACAGGTTTAGAATTAAAACCTGTGCACATAAGGCTGTATTATTTTCTCTGTACTGCACAAGGCAGAAATGTAGATGATTTAAGTTAAAAACAACAATTTATATTCATAAGAAGTTTCTATTAAATGGCTTCTTTTAGAGTTTTTTTTGCTTGAGCATGAGATAATGATAAAAAAGACCTCATATAAAAATTTAAATGAACTAAGTAATAGCTACACTTTCACTAAGCACAAAAATCTATGCATTTTAGGCATTAACTTACATGAGAATTATCCTACATGAATACTTTTGACACCTCCCTTATGCAGAGCTTATATTCAGAATTTCCTTAGTTCCAAGAAAATCCTCTGACACAACAAAAAGGCATGAAAAACCCAAGTGAACTGGGGTTGAATATCCCTTACTCTGAGTTAATCTGGTACACTCCTCCCAATGAAGTAAGGCTTTCTCTAAAATTAGTTGTAGTTATGAGCAACACTCATTCCTGACTCCCCACCACTAATCATATCTTAATGCATAATGAAAAATTTTCCTGGTACAAATGTGATAGTGCAAGTACAGTGTGAGAGTGGAAAAAAATACTGGGTATAATGAACTACCTAAGTGTACTTCAATTATTAACACTTCTGTGTTTTCAAAGAATTACTTACCAGGTGGGCTTATTCTACCATTACTACTGTTCTGTCTTTGAAGATGTTCTTTATAGCATACTGAACACATGCCATTTGTACGAGGGTTTCCATAA